ACATACATACATACATACATATATACATACATATATATACATGCCATGGTACAAAATTTGAACAATGTCTCCATTCACCCCAACTCTTCCACCTCTGCCAGGCAAGTAATTTCACAATGTGTTGTGCATTCACAAGTGTGTATATATGGGCGTGTATATCTTTGTGGCTAAATTGAGTTGTTTTTTTCCCCCTTTGGGGTTGTGTATTTGTCAGTCATGCTACAGCAGTCTGATGGTCTTATTTAATTCTAGGACAGCTGTGGGAAGAGGAAGAGCTTGGCTTTATCTTGCACTCATGCAAAAGAAACTGGCAGATTATCTGAAAGTGCTTATAGACAATAAACATCTCTTGAGGTATGTTTATTATTACCACCTATCTTTGCTTATAACAACTTTGTAAGTAATTAGAAAATAGCTCTGTAGGCCATTTTGCATTAAAACAAGAGTGTGTAATATTTGTGACTTGGATGCAAATTCTTCATCTTAAATATTTTGTGGCTTAATTTTAAGATAGCAGTATTTCATTTTTTAAGAACTGATATATGAAGTCATTTTGAAGATAATTCTTTAGGAGTCCAGGTGTGGTGCTGTAGGATAAGCACTGGACTGCTAGCTGCAAGGTCAGTGGTTTAAACCCACCAGCTGCTCCTTGGAAACTTTAAACAGGCTACTGTGATTTGGCACCAACTCGACGGCATTTAACAACAACAAGTATTTCCCGTAGGAATCCATGCCTAGTGCAAATAGCATACTAGGCGGTTAACCAAAAGGCAGGAGTTTCCAGTCCACCCAGAGTCACCGCGAAAGAAAGGCCTGTTGATCTACTTCAGAACAGTCAGTTATTGAAAAACCCCTTTGGAGCACAGTTCTACTCTGCCACAAATGGGGTCACCATGAATTGGAATCAACTCAGTGGCAACTAACAACTGACAGCCTATTCCCTTAAAGTTTAAAAAAGTGGTATTTCTTAAATTGGAGGATAACTGGAAAAACTTACTGTAGAACTAGGTGCAGTGCACAATTTTAAAGTACAAAACTATCCTCTTTGTAAGAGAACATAGCCATATTGTTTACTTTAGGATTTCATATTCAGATTGTAAAATGCTGTATCACTCACTTAATATCAGCAAAGATTTTAACTGGCCATCTCTGAAATTTATGGCTGGTTAATCTGATGTTTATAACTATGTAAGCAAATATCATTGTAAAAGTAATTTTCACTAGAATATGAATATTTACAGGAAGGAATCTCTAGTCTAATTGAAATAAAACTGGTATTCATAGTATATCACCCAGTTTTCAGTGTTTCAAGTCACGGATTATCGTCAAATAGATCTTTATACTTGTTGTTGTTATTAAGTGCTGTTATCTCAGTTCCAACTCATAGCAACCCTGCATAGGATTTTGAACCTGTAAATCCTTATTGGAGAAACAGAAGGAAAGCACTTTGACATTTTAAAATGCAGAGGAGGGGGACTTCTGGAGCTTCCCAGACCAGGCAGTTCAGGTAGGGCAGGCTCCGGGGAAAAGGGTCAGAATCGCACATAGGAAATCTCTGTCTAGCAGACAGACAGACTTTGAGCAAACATAAGATCTTATATTTCAACATTCTGAACTCATTTTTTGAAAGATCAAATTGCTGAGGAATTACAGGCATTTTGAGCTTTTGCCTGCCTGCACGCGGCTCCCGTTCCCCGTGCCCATGCCGGCAAGTGCCTCTGCTCCCTGTGGACCTTGGAGTGCAGGGCTAGAGCAACCCCATTTAGAAGGCTGCATTTCCAGAGAAAAGGAAGCATAAATTGGCAAATCCAAACAAATAGGGATATTGGCGTGGATATCAGGAAATTGGGGGTACCCACGGTACAGAGAGACTGAGAGAGGCATTTTTTACGTCATCAGATACACGCCCACTGAGGCCAAGGCCTTCCCCGAGGCCCAAACCGCCCACAGACTGGTCACAAAGGCCCAGGCTCAACCAAGGCCCAAATCGCCTACCCGCCGCGAGGCCCAGGCAGCCCACAGCCCGGTCACTGCCAAGGTCCAGGGCCCTCAAGGCCCAACCCGCCGTGTAGCCCAGTCGCCGAGGCTCAGTGCCCCTGAGGCCCGGTCACCAAAGACCAGTGCCCCTGAGACTCAACCCACCCTCAGCCCGGTCCCCGAGGCACAGGCCCCTCAAGGCCCAATCCGCCCAACCCGCCCGCCGAGGCCCAAGCTGCCCGATGCCCAGCTGCTGATACCCAGGCCCCCTGA